AGGTCCCGGGCTTGCGGTACCACCGGTTGTGAAACTGGTCGAAGTGGCCTCAAAGCACAAAGATCCACCCCACGCAGGTGAAGCCGAGAGGGGCAAGGCCCACTGGGCCATGGGCCCTCGTCACCACCCACAACAAACACCAGGTAGCCATGGTTGGGATCCATTACACGCTGCGGCACCATAGACCCGGGGTAAGGTCTCCCGCCCCTCCAGGGGCTAGACGAAGAGTATGTAAGATGAGCCTTTAGTCTCACCAACCACCCACTACGCCGGCCCTGCCGACGAAGATGTTTCCGCCAGGGGAACAAGGCCGAGGCCTGGAGCAAGTAAGCCGGGATCCCCGATAAAACCGGGGGAACAGTTCCTCGTCCGTCACGTCCAAGCACACATAGATCCCCGCCCTTAGATTGAAGGTCCAAAAGGAACCGGCGATCGTACACCAGCAGAGACTCCGTCCTTGATACACCGACAATTAAAAACGCCATAATCATCAGCCAGAATGAGAGCAACAGACGAGCAGCCACCAACACTGGCGCCATCTTGTCATGTTTTGCTCTGCATTTTTGTTATGACTTTGAGAAGCAATAGCAAAGTGTTATTTACTTATTTTTCTTGAAGATTGATTGTTTTAACTTTGACTGTGAAGTAACCAGTAGCTGACAGTTGTGTTCAATAAATGCATCTTATTAATACTCTTTGTTGTTACGTGACCTTTACACAGATCTTATTAACCAATAGTCTGGTGTTGTTCAATAAACAAATAACCACACAATTTAGTGCAAAGGGTTAGGGAAAATCTCTATCGCGCTCTTGCCACCATGCCTGAAAAAAATTTCTAGCAGAAACAATGATCTTTGTTCTTTATCACTCTCTCACTCTTCACTCCATCAGCAAAACCAATTATCCATCCATTCATGTGTTCACCTCTGGTTTCCATGGTGATGGGCTCAGAAAACTCTCCTGCAGCCATTTTGTTTTTTGCTCGGACTCGCACGACGACGAAGCGAGAGTCAAACTTCAGACCTGAAAGCATATACAAACCATCAGAGGTTGTCCTGAACATGTCGGACCTCTCACCTGAGACCTCTGATCTCTAACCTGAGATGGTGACCTGAGTCTCAATGAGGTCACAGATTTTTTCCCAGCATGCCTCTCCTGCAGCACTCAGCGGGTCACTGTGGTTTGTTTTTTGGTATTCAAGCTCATAGTGTTCAATTGGTCTGCTGACACCGTCACTGTCTGACTCTCTAGCCGGCAGCCACACAACTGTTATATTGTTGTCACAGATGACACAGCTGGAGACATCAATCACTGGAGCTTGGGGCACTGTAAAAAACAAAACAAAAAACAAACATCAAGACTTATACACAGAGTGAACATGGTGACAGTATCTATTACTGGCTTGTTCTGGATCTTTCCACTGTTTCACAGTCTTCATCAGAAGATGATGTTTGCTCTGTTCTAATAGTAACTGCGGATGTAGTGCTGGGCAGTATGACCAAAAATTTGTATCACAGTATTACTTAAAATTCTGGTGGTTTCACTATATGTATATGGCTTTTTCTGAAATTAGACACAAACACAGGAAACATTATTAATAATCACTTACAAAAATCTAATTGTTTAATTATTACAAATACTTGGGGGCGGCTGTGGCTCAGGAGGTAGAGCGGGTCATTCCCTAACCAGAGGATTAACGGTTCGATTCCCGGCTTTTCCAGTCAATGTGTTGAAGTGTCCTTGAGCAAGACACTGAACCCCAAGTTGCTCCTGGTGATAACACCGGTGTGTGAAAGGGTGAATGGCTAAGTAGTGTGAAAGTACTTTAAGACCATTTACCTATGGCAAGGTGAAGTTTGTGTCCAAAACACTGTTGTCTTCTCCAATCATTCAGGTGGGCTGCCTTCTCCATGGTGGTCTGTCAGTTAGCATAGATGCACAGTGTTGTATCTACAAGTTGTTAGGGCCAACTGCCTCAACTCTTAAGCCTTGTATAACTGCTTCTCCAGTATGATGATGATGATGATAACGTTTAGTGATGACTGTAAACGATGTACGACTCCATTGTGCGACTTGACCACAGGTCTGTGGTATAAAAGTGAGCATCCATCCATCCATCCATTTTCCTCCGCTTATCCAGAAATGGGTCGCGGGGACAGCAGTCTAAGCAAAGATGCCGAGACTTCCCTCTCTCCAGACACTTCCTCCAGCTCCTCCGGGGGAATGGCGAGGCGTTCCCAGGCCAGCCGAGAGATATAGTCCCTCCAGCGTGTCCTGGGTCTTCCCCGGGGCCTCCTCCCGTTGGGACATGCCCGGAACACCTCCCTAGGAAGGCGCCCAGGAGGCATCCGAAACAGATGCCCGAGCCACCTCAGCTGGCTCCTCTCTAAAAGTGAGCAAGTGTAAGTAATGTTAGCTCCACTTCCACCTTGCTTTGATGTTGTTGGTATAATGCTGGTGTAGCAGTTTGCAGTTATAAGTTTGCTAATGCTGCCAACAGCAGCAACAGTGACTCAAACTATACTGCTTCAGTCTTTTGAAAACCAGAACCTTCCCAACTGCAGACATGGCTCCTTCCTTGGAAACTAGGACTTCTGGTGCAAACTCATCCTCACTTTCATCTTCCTTTTCACCATTCTGTTTGTTAATCTATCATAGTGACAGAGCCTCTTGTTGCTGATCACAGGTTGTTATGCTACCTGGCTAGCTAGCAAGCTGTACCCAGGATGCTATTCCACTGATACATATTGCTTATGTCACAATAGTTGTATGCCAAAATATTTTTTGCAGTGCCTGACTACTACAGATGTCAGGAAAATAAATGGCCCCAAATAAAACAATGCCAATTATTACCTGTCCAACAGAAACATGGTCACTGTGGCATCACTTTTCATCCCATTTTGTTCTCTCCGTTGTCGCCATCATTCAAATGCCACACCAACATTAATTCTGGTTTTACTTCTTGCAGCATTCAACTTCTTTTTAGCTGTAACTTTCTCAAATACAGTGTTACCCACCCAGATCTGTGGCACTGAACTGTAGATGGGGACCTCTGGTTCATGGCTAAACCGCTTTAGCACTGGCTCTTAGCCGGTAACTAGCCTTAGAAGTCCGGGCTTTTCCAGTGGGGAGAAGCCTTGATGCCCAGTTAACTCCATTACAATCCTGTCTATACACTTAGAGCTGACTGCTGTTGGCATTTTCCCACCCGTGGCTGCATGTAAAAAGAGCCTGTTCCATGTGGTGATCTTCTCACTCTCATACTGTAGGTAAAAACAACAAAACTGCCTATAAGGCCATATATCTTGGGCCAAATTCAGATAGGAGGCGGTGGGCACTGTGCACCACTATCCAACCCATTCATTTCTATGTGTTGTGTGGTGCAGGAACACATCTGTGTTGCACTGAGCTGAGCACAGTGCAAGGATGTGCATGCTGTCCCTCTGCGCTAGGCTGAAGTTAAAAAAAAAAGAAAAAAAAGTTTAACCTCGGCAGAGCACTCTGTGACGACACCGACATGTACAATTGCAGAGGACCTGACAGACCACAAAGAAAATGGAGGAGAAGCTGATGGTGGACCCACACCCTCTTCTTCTTTGCTGCAGCTTGTCTCCTCCTTCTCCTCATCAGTACAACTAAAGCCAGAGGCTTTCACCGACATGTAGAAAGATACATTGTGTATCCAAGTCCACTGCTTGAAAAACTTGTTAATATCTGCTAACCACCTCCTGGAAAGCTTTTTGGTCACCTAGCAACTGGTGCCCAACATGTGTGCAATTTGTTTGTGCGCGCCTTCCTCCCCTGCCCTGCTCCAAACCCCTACAATGCATGCCGCGCTCTATCTGTAACAACAGTCTACACTTGCGAACCAAAGCTGCTATGGTACCTTCTCTGCCACAGTTCGCTAGCTTTAGCTACCGAAACAGAGCAGCAACATATCTGCCTACAGCTGCAACGCCTTACGAAAAACTCTTGGCTCGTGCACTGAGTACATGGGAAGAGTCTGCACAAGTAGGAAGATAAGTTGACAGACAGGTAGGCCGTCCAATGGCTTTGGGATGAGTAAAAATAGTGGGCATGCGTCTTTCAGCCCTGCTTCTGCCACAGATGACATTTTTTTTCTTTGTTATCAGAGCATTTAATGTATTCACTGACATTCAGATGAAGAGAAATTCAAGAAATGTAACAAAAATGCTTTTTGAAAAGAACTGCCAACCTGACATTTACATAGAATTAAAGCCAGTATACCGCCCAGCACTACGTAGATGTTTGAACTACTTTTTCTGAATCAGACAGAAAGCAGTCCTAAGAATGCTCTGAACCATAGCAAGTTTAAAACTGAAAAGACCACAGATCACAAGTCAAAAAGTGAAATCTGAATTAAGATTGTCATCAGTGAAAGAAAATATTTAAAAAAAAAAAAGCAAAAAAGATGCTCTGTAAAAAAATTAACTCCCTGATGACTCACCAGGTAGGAAATTAAGTTGTTGAAGCCTTGTCCTCTCCGTACTGAAGTCAACAGTAAATTGCGCCATGCTCTCTGACGCAGCTGGTCGAGTTGTCAGCCGGAAAGCCGGAGCCATCGTTACCCTGGCAACATGAGGGGGGCAAGGTCCCAGTGCAAAGAGGGTGGAGGGTGGAATTTTAGTGTTAGTGCCGGGGGGTTACGCGTTAGACATAGGAAGAAGGTTAGGGCCAGGATTCACATTTAAACACTTTCATTATAATGGTTCACTTAGACTTTTGTTAGTTAAATGTTAGTGTTTCACAAGAATTAATAAATAACCAAATTACAACAAAATGTAAATCTAAATAAAAACAAAAAGCAGCAAAAGCAGCAACAGGAAAAGAAAGAAAGAAAAGAAATATTGAGAACGTTGGAACGTGATTCCAACTGAACGCATGTTCCGCTGGCATAGAGGACGAAACTATCATTAAACACTTTGATATTAAAATACTTTAACTGAACCTACCTTTCCTTGATTTGTTTTGCAGCCTGGAAAATAAAAAAGAAAAATGACTTATTTAAATTAATGTGTCTGTTTGGAGCTTTTTTTAAATTTCTTTTTCACACAGCAGTGTTGTTTATAATTGATTAAATCATGACTTTAAACAAAATGAAAACTTTCAGGAAATTTCTTGACAAAATTTTGTTTCTTTAAAGAGTCTGCTCATTTTTTCATCACCTTCCCATTGTACCTTCAAGAATTCTTCTTCATTGGTGATGGTAAGTGTCTGATTTGCAAACTCAAGCAGTTCTTCACATGACAGCAGAGCAAACTTTCCCTCTGACAGTTGGTTCTGAAAAATTGTTTTTAAATATTAAAAAACACAAAAGTAAAAACATTTGTGAGGGAAAAGAATAGAGAAAATACTTTCAAAATCTGAAGTTTCTCTGTGCTGTAAAAAAAACAGGGGGAGGATAAAAAAAATTTAAAACAAAAGAAAAAAAATTGTTGCAAAACAAAGAAAAACAAATAAGTAAAACAAAATGAACAAAGACAAAAACTGGAAGTCAAAAGTTAATAAAACATAAAAACAATAATTTTTCCACCTGAAGCTCCGCCTCCTTCCTCTGCTTTTCCTCTTGAATGACATCACGGAGCTCTGCCCCCTTCTCTTCCAGTGCAGCGCTTAGCTCACCAAGCTCCACCTCCAGGTCGGACATCACTTTACATGACTCCTCCTAAGTGGGCAAATTGTACTTAAATTTTTTTTTATGTTATTGTGGGCTTGTTCAAGATGCCAAGACAGTGGACAGGAGCAGGCAGTAGGTTAGGAGGTCGAGACAAAAAGCTGCTATGAAGACGGACTGGCGGAATCTCACAGCCCTCCCTAAGGACTCAAGCCTTGAACCCTCAAAGACTTACGTAAGTGACATCACCAGAGTGCCCGAGTCCACAAGGGCTGGAAACTGTATATACAGGAACGGGAGAGCACTCTGTGACTTAAGTCTACCACATCACCATGACAACGCCAAAATGGCACCATGGCTCTAACTATTGCGGGTTGAGAGGTTTTTATTTTCTTTCACTTTCCTCACAGCCAAGATGCTTCAGGGAACGACTGGCTCTTCTGAACATGATCCAGGCTCCTGCCTTAAAGAGTGGATGAGGCACAAGTGTCAATTACCTCATCAGTTTAATATGTTTTTGTCAAAACGACATCATTAAGTTAAAAAAAAACAAAAAAAAAAAAAAACCAGCTGAGCGAAATAGGTGCATAATACAGAATGCTTATGTTTTAGTTGCAGTATTTTGTAGATGCTTTTGTCCAAAGCAACATACACAAATAGAACATCAGTTAACATAAGAATGACTATTCATTTACAGTTTGTCGTCTTTATTTTTCTCATCTCTCTTTTATGACATTTCTTTACGCCTCCAGGCTCCCTGATAGACTAATCCCGTGTTTAACCTCGCAACACAATGAACTGTGGGGAATTCCCTCAGGTAAAGTCTGCAGAAACATCGACTTACAGAAAGTGAGCATAAAGGGCTCAAAATGAAGATGAGAGAGCCCTCGTGCGCTTGATGATTTCACAATTTCACAGCGGGACAGTCCTAAGCCCTCACTAACTCAGCGGGAACGCGCCTCAAAGACCGCGAGTGTGGACACTGGGACTGGAGGACAGTTTAGGAGCTCTCCACCCACCTTTAGTCTGCACAGGAAGCATCAACTGTAAGAATTATGGACATGGTGGCTGGTTGCAGTGGTTTGGACATGACCAAACTAAAAACTCAAAGTACAAATCAGATAAATATTTCCCAGAGGTGATTTCTGTGTTTTTTTGTTGTTGTAGATATTACAACAGTGATGTGTGTACAGATGGTCATTTGTTTTTAATATGGTGTATTTTAGTTGATTTGACTGCTTTGATTGGTGGTCTGATGCTGTCACTCCACTTCTGGTCACTATAGCACAAAAAGCAAAATGGCAGACACTGCATTCATGATATTTTAGCTTAATTTTTTGCATAGTGAAGGGAAGTGGTGACACCATGTCCATCATATATGTGTCAAAGACAGGAAGTGACAGAAACACTCATATACTGACAGATCTGATCCCAATTTAGTAAAATGATATCAGACCAAACTTTTCAGCTTGTTTCAGGGTGCAGTAGTTGTTTCAATGAAGTTTTCTACAACTGGACCCGAACATCCGACTATTCAGATATTTGTTTGTTGGGTATGTAATCGGTTTTCAATGTTAGTATTTAAATATTCAAGTAAAACCATCGCTGTGGAACTAACTAGCATAATCAAAATCTCTCCTATTTAACAACAAATGTAAACCCTCTATAAAACGTCATGTTGTTGATCCAGCATCTAAACCAATCAGCTTTCAGATCAAGTGAGAGCAAGGCACTTCCCATAATGCCCTGTGCTCCTGTTGTTGGTGGAGAGCAACTGTGGTGCCTGGCTCCAGAAACTGCAGCCACCTCAATCCCATAATAATATTGTTGCCTACAATGAGGAACAGAAGTATTTGAACACCCTGCGATTTTGCAAGTTCTCCCACTTAGAAATCATGGAGGGGTCTGAAATTCACATTGTAGGTGCATTCCCACTCTGAGAGACAGAATTAAAAAAAAATTCAGGAAATCACATTGAAAGATTTTTAAAGAATTTATTTGTCTAGCACTGCTGAACATAAGTATTTGAACACCTGAGAAAATCAGTGTTAATATTTGGTACAGAAACCTTTGTTTGCAATTACAGAGGTCAAACGTTTCCTGTAGTTCTTGACCAGGTTTGCACACACTGCAACAGGGATTTTGGCCCACTCCTCCACACAGATCTCCTCTAGATCTGTCAGGTTTCGGGGCTGTCGCTGAGCAACGCGGAGTTT